GTAATGAATTGGAAGTTGATTTGTCAGCACTATCCTTATCTTCAGCGCAGATGTTTTTATTTTATTTGGCTTATAATTCCTTACCTAATGTAGTATTTAATAAATGTAGTATTTCATCTCGATATGCTTCGTCTTTGATATGATTTAAAACAAGTTCCTCGTCATTATAATTCGCTTCCGATAGCGAAGAAAAGTGACAGAGGTTATTGAAAACAAAAAAAATTTCGATTGACAAATTAGTCGGTATTCTTGACACAGCAATTATAGGACTTGAACGGCGGAACTTTGTAACTGAACAAGAAATTATGTCTGTTTAATAGAATTAAAGAGAAAGTATTATCACATGAAACGAAGCAAAACTTAAACAACTTTACATTGAAAGAAATGTTTAATAAAGTAAACAAATAAATATTAAGCTTTTTCTTTTTGCAAATTTTGATACCCTTTAGATCATAATTGTTCTTTATTTCATAAATTACGGTTTCATATTTTTAATTTTATAATTTCTGCATGCCATCTTACGAGATTTAAACTGATGATCTATAATCCGGAAAAATCGATAATCCGGAATCGCCGAAGTCCCGACGAGTCCGGATTAACGACTTTTGACTGTATATGATTTTCCCTAACTTGAGCTTCTGTGCTATATCCAACATTATGTTCTCTGCATATGCTGTTGATTAATACCTCCACTAGCAAGTAATAATAATACCATCATAAAAATCCAGAATATCTAACATAGGTATTCTGACACAAAATCAGACTTTTTCTGAAATAACATACCAGTCTTTCTCTATATTTCGATTCTACAACTCATATTATACCTAGATATTAAATTTTGTAATTTTTGGTGAGAAATTAAAACATTTATCTTGATGAATTTTTTTTCAGTTTGTGCCAAGAATAATTCACTTGGCGAACTTCTTAAATTACAGCAACCTATATTCCTTTGCTTTTTTTCTTTGTGCATCAGCAGGGAAAAAGTCATTGTTCATACTATCAAATAATTTTAACAAAGTGTGTACACCACATTTTCGTTATTGCTCATAATAAATATGCCAACTTTTGAAACACTCCAAAATTCACATGTATCTAAGGAAATTTTGAATAAAAAATCTAATTTTCTGCAGGTATGCTTAGAACTACATCTACTTTAAGATGATGGCAAAAATTTCATAGGTTATAATTCAAAATTTACCGCTAAATCGGGAGATATAGAACTGTCCCCCCCCCTTTTTTTTTCTCCACAGTGTACATGAGTGTGTGTATAAGATAAACATAAAACCTTACACTCCATGCACTAAAATCTGCCAACAACAGTGGAAGATATACATATGATAGTATAATACAACACAACGGTCCAAAAATTTTGAAAAGATTCCACTAAAGACATTTTTAATTTCGATATATTGTAATTAAAATTTTTAAGTTTAAATAGAAATCCTTTGCACAAAATATAAAACTCCTAATATAATTTTTTTAATTAATAATTTTTTAACGTTTGGATGGTCATTGACAAGTTTAGTTCGCATTCCAGTTACACTCTGCAGTGGGCACAAACAAAGTTCACATTATAAATTTATAACTGACAGATATATCTTTATTTGTTCTTGAAAAGTAATTTTACGAAATTACTGCAGAAACGCATAATATGGCATTTTATTATCATCACCTGTCATGAACCAGGGTGTAACAAATATAAATTATTATAAATAATTATAATAATTAACAGTGGTAATAATATGTATAAAATCATTTTTGTTGTTTTTTAAAGCATTTTACAGCCAAAAATACAGAACACTTTGTTCTACCACATACATGATCAATTACATTACTTCTCATGGTAGAGAATTAAAATAATAAAATTCTATATTTATTCACAAGCAAAAATTTGGCTTGCAACATTACTATAAAATCTCATTCTACATCTCAAAAAAATTGCTGTGGAAAATCTGTCACCTTATGCAGATAATGAGCCGTTTAAATGTAGAGAAAAAAAATGCAGTACAATTAATTAAGCAATTAATTAATTTTTTCCCGAATTCATGAAAAATAACAAAAATAATATCCACAACTTAATTCTAAAGAAAACTTTCTAAGAAAATGCAAACAAAAAGCAAGTTCTGAATTTACCAGAGAATAACATATAAAACAATATGATTACATTTACACATTATCAAATGATCAATTAAACACCTAACTACATGAATTATGAGAAAAATTAAGACAATATGCCACCTGTAATCACAAAAAATGAGTATAATGAGCAAAAAAACATCAAATGTGAGTACCACATGATTTCTTGTACGGCCTATTAAATTACACACAGTTTTTGCTACATTTCATTTAAACTTATCTTATGCCCTTGAATTATATTAATTAACGGATCCCCCAAAGCATGTTGAAAATGACATCAAAATATGCAAATTTTGAAATTAAATATCTTGGACAATTTTTGAGGTATGGAAGTCAAACTTCTTACGTTTTTATTTTTTCATAATGAGTACAAAACTTTCTCAAATGTAAGTATAAGAAACGGGACCACATAAAAGTTAGATTTTGATATTTGTAGAAAATAATTGTTTTTAATTTTAAATTGAAGAAATATGAAAATTTTCATTATTTAAAACTGGAAGTATATGATTACGACCACCAATTGCAAAAATAAAGGGCCACGAACGACTTTTAAGCCGGATAAAGTGGGGTGGTATATATATATATAAATGCATGTGGTACTAATAAAATTATAATAAAAAAGGAAGATACATAACTAGATTAATTTTGGAGTTCATTTGCACTTTGGCAGATTATGATGTGGTAAAACCATCTAAATTGGTCCTGGAAAATTTGCAAATATAACGTTGATTTTCGTTGTTTGACTTCTAAATTAATCGTTGTTCGGCATGTTATTTTAACCTACAGAACTAGATGTTATAGCAATTCCATATATAAAATATCAATGTTTTGCAGCTAATTATTTTTTAGTTATGCAAGATTCATACATATGTATGTACAGATGTCAAGAAAAAATCTTGTTTCATTGCATTTTGCAATCTAGTTTGAAAAAAGAAAAAGTACATACAGGTGTCATGCAAAACAAAAGTCCAAATGGATTTGGGAAAAGTCAAAATGGATATTTCCACTGATATATGATACGCGAAATTTTTCACTATTGCAATACTTCCTTTACTTCATAAAAAAGGATAATAGTTAGTGACTCTGACAACAATATCAAAGTGCACAAGTTTGAATCCCAAAGAAGGCATGGATGTTTGGAAATGTCTGTGTGGCATGGGACACTAAATATGCGGCGAGCCAAAAATCCTTTTGAGAGGCTGGAGGTAGGAGACCCTCGGTCCCATCCCCCAAATGCTCTTCTACAAAATTGCGGGCAGAACCGAGTAAAGTCATACTATCACCTGTGTGGTTGCCCAAGGCTCGTGTTAATGACAGGTGCATTTGATTCCTTGTCACAATAAATGTCACGGGTTTGTGCTGACAATCGTCAGACAAGTGAGATTGATAACAGCAATGACAATTTGATACAAGGAAGTAAAAATTAATGCACTGAAATCACAAATAAAAAGGATAACTGAAATCACGAATAAAAAGGATAACTGAAATAATTTGTAACAACAGAAACATTGCTATTCATTTGGGAGAAAATGAAAATTACATATCAAAATAAAGTGGTGATAAAAAGAAATGATTTAAAAGATTAAAAAACACTGCAGCACAAAAAAAAATAAATAAATAAATAAAAAGAATTTGAGGAAAATGCAGCTGCATTTATTTGGGGAAAATGGCTTTTCTTTTCCATTACAGAAGTACATATGACAAAAAAAAAACCTTCTATAGAAAGACATTTGAATGTAATACTAAACATATCTCATTTGATTCTTATTTACTCCCCTCCACATCCAAAAATATGGTATACAGCTAAAAAAATTTTAATGATTAACTAGGTTTAAGTAAAGAATTATAATCAAATGTCTTTATGTATAAATTTATACACTAATCAAACAAATGAAATTTAGTTGGTTGGTGTTTGATTTTGTCCGTATCCATAAAGCATCAACAAAGTTACTTCGTGTAATTGGAAAGCTGTAATACAGGCTCCACCAATCCTAAAAAGGAGGGGATGGGTTGGCCCATGAATGAGGAAACGAAGATTTGGTGAAACTAGACAAATTTGATGATGCTAAATGAAGAATTCCATTGAACTTGCAAAAGCAAACATTTTATTACCAAAGTGATGATTACGGTTGCAGTTGCTTGACCAAGTTATGATCCACATGAAAAAAATTATGGAAAAACTGGGATATGGCCCTTTGTTTATCAGGAAGTGGCTAAGCAAAACTCTAGAAATTAACCTAAAGGAATTTTGGTTAAAATGTGGAATCCCACGTGGAGGAAATTCCTCCAAAATTCTTCATATTAATACGGCCAAGCTTCATCATGAGTGATGATACTACTACTTTAGAAGGGTTCAAAAGAGGCCCTGGAAATGGCTAAATCCCACGTCATTTGAATTTTATTTATACATTTGAGACTCATGTATTAATTACAGTTGTAAATGGATATCATAATGTTGGATGATGTGATTGATGATTGGTTAATGATTTGAACCAATAAGGGAGATGCACAATTACATGTTACAGCAGTCCTTATATACAAAATTCCAATGGTCTGAAGCTATTCATTTTTGAGTTATGCGAGATACATACATGTCATGAAACATGTATGTACAGATGTCATGAAAAAAAATCTCTTTTGAATCCATTTTATAACCTGTTTTGGGAAGAAGAGTCCTTTATTCTGTCCTTATGTAAAAATTGCCATGCAAAAACATTGTTAAATTATATTTGATAGCAGTCAAAATGGATATTTTCATTGAAATATAGGCAAAATTTTTCGTGATTACAATATTTCCTTTACTTTGTACAAAGAAGTAAAAAAGCAGTAAAAACTGTCAAAATCTCATATTTTAAGAAGGATACAATGTATTCTCAGTATCAATGAACATAGCTTTTCCACCAGAATAATTATTTGCTCCAGGTAATTGGCAAGTAACTGATAGAAAACATTTTCAAATTTTCACAAGCATATATATTTTAAAATGTTACACATTTTTAACAGATTCAATACTTCTGTATTTGTAACTCAGATAGCAAAATGATTGAAAATTATCAATATTTAAAAATGAGATTAATGATTAATTTTAAAAATTTATATAGCAAAAGTGATAACTGTATAGTCAGTCAATAAAAGCAGCTATAGAAAACTTATTAATTCAGTGAAACTTCAGTTCATGAATTTAATTTGTTCCTGAAGGCCATTTATCAACCAAAATGTTGGTAAAATGAAACAATTTTCCCCATGTGAATCTCTGTAAAATGGATTAATTCATTCCTGGTCACATATGATTCCTTATTTAAATGTTATAACAATACTTTGTGCATATGTTCATAACCTAAAACCAATAGAAATCAATAAATATAAAATAAAAAAGATAAACACAATATTAAAGAGATAAAATAGACAGAGGTGAAGCTTATTAAAATATTAAAATGAAGTCCTCAGTAACTGTATAGAATAGGTTACCTCAAAATACTTCTGAAAATCGTAAGGTGTCACCTTGATCGTTCGTAACAGGAGACACCTTTTGTCATCCGACGCATTTTTTGTTCAGATAATTTGTTCATGAACCAAATTGTTTGTGAAGTGAAGCATTCGTGATCTGAAGTTTCATGCTATTATTAATTCTAATTTGTTAGTTGAAAAAAAGCTTAAAGTAATATTGCCTTCTAGAAAATGGTTATAAAAATAAAAAGCTTATATTTAATTAAAAATTTGTTTTTATAAGTGTAATAATAAATTTACCACACAGTGTATGAGACAATTGTGTCTTGCCTGTTCTGAATTCACCAAAGACTTCTGTGATAGCCATACTTTCAATACCACCACCTAAAAGCTTGCTGCATTAATGAGAAAAATTATCAATATAATTATATTTTTTAATTTAATTGGATAAAAAGTAAAAAAAATTAAATTTCTGCATAATAAAGAATAGCATAAAAATTATCTTTTCATTTTTCACATACAGCTATATAGCAGCAGTGACCAAACTTCATGACATTAGAGACTACAAGTTAAAATTCAAGAAAGTTCACAGCCACAATTAAGATTTTTCAAAAGTGCCAAGTCCAGATTTATGCGATTTTAAAGTAGTGAAACAGAAAGGCAAAAGGGAAAGAAATGCTCAAAGAAAGTTAATGAGACTTTTCCATTTTTTACGTAATTAATATGGTTACATTTAAATATAGTTATACAATGCTTATTTTGCTGCTTTATATTCAAGACAGTATGTTGCTAAGTTATACAAATGTGAAATACTGCAAGATGTAGAAGTACATACTTTTCTCTCTCTTTTTCCTACCTTTATATAATTAAAGCAATTTCATACAAATATAAATATATAATTCTTGTATTGCGCTACAATATATAATCTATTTATTGTATGCTCCTACAATATATAAACTTGAAATTATTGTAAAATGCAACTGAATACTCTTTTTTCAGATAGAAAAACCGGTTGCTTCAAATTTCCTATTCCTACTAAAATAAATTGTGCTATTCTGCTGGTCTGTGGCCTCACCAGTGTCTAGTTGGTTAAAACTGCTTAAATACTGGGAGTTCAACTTGTGCTCAAATGCAGGTGAATGGACTGGCTGCCCAAGTTGTTTCCTCATGAGTAAGATTAATACTAGACACAGGATTCATACACATTTCTGCACATGGAAATTAAGTACTTTTAAGGACCATTAATGAAAAAAAAAAATTAAGGACCTATCAGCAAATGGGAGCTGAATAAATTCAATCAACTTATGCCTGAACTTCACTTTTGTAATAACATTCTAAGAACAAAATAAATCTATAAGTGTAGGATGCATTCTTATCGACTATAATTTAATAAACATAACTATAAACCAACTTTGAGAATAAAATCTATATCAAGAAACATTAAATATTTTACACCTATAATAGTTGGACATGCTTGAAAGAAGATTAAGGACATTTTATTTACATTTTTACCAGCAGTTAGCTTTATGTTGTTTTTTTCTTTTATGCTTCATGTAGAGTTTCTGGGATTGTAACCCAGATAATATATTTTAAGGTTCCAATAAGCCACTAATGCACCAGAAGTGATAAGTTGTTTTGTATTACTTTAAGTCTCACTAGATGCAAAGAATAAGTTTTACATTAATTTTTACATTTTTGTGCTGTATCTTGTGACCACAGTAAGGATTAATGAAAAGCAATATCTCACTTTAATATGCAGAGGTAATTTTTAAAGGTGAGAAGTTATTTACAAATTATTAAATTAGGAAGTTTAAATACCTTTAGTCCTTATAGAATTACATGACCACTATTAAATTTTATTTATTTTTTAAAAGCATATGTTAAAAAAGCACTATTAAAATCCCAATCTAATAACATTTCACATTTTAAAATGCATGTAATTTATGACTTTGCTCCTTAAACAGTATAAGGATAATTACACATTAACAGCTTAAAAACATTTATGTTTTGTAGCAAAAACACACAGCAAAATATTTATGAGACTTTTTAATTTGAAGCCTTCCCAGACATTTTGGCTTAATTTACTTCTTTACAATTTACTACAATTTTCTTAAATAAATTTAAAGAGAAGAAAATAAGTTTAAAGAGAAGAAAATTACTACAATTTTCTTCTCTTTAAACTTATTTTCTAACAATAAGAAATCTGTTTCAATACACAAACCAGTGTTCCCCCTTAGTTTCTGCATGCTTTATCTCCTAACCTGCCAATCTCTTAACAGTGTACCTAACGAGGTCTTACTTGATCTGGTAAAAGTTAAATAGTCCAAAACCTCTGATAGATATGAAGCAAATTATCGCTAAGTCTGAAGGTTACTACAAAGTTACATAAAGGTTTAATTAAACCTCTTATTTAAAACGAACTTGGAACATATAGGCTCGTTCTTATGTTGACAAAATCAACTACAGCTTGTGGTGATGAAATTAAACAGGAACAGTCAAATTCAAACTAAAAATGTGGACTTGTAGTCAAAGACTACACAATTCAATTTTAATCTAAACTGGCTCAGTAACTCTAGTGTCATAACAAATTAGTATTAGCAGCGATAATGCAAAGATGAATAATTACAAATTATCAGAGCTGGCAGGAACTAAGGCAACATCGAAGTGGAGGGCAAAAACATTTGCAATCCAAAAACCTCAGTTTAAAAACTATCTGATTTGAATTATGGTGAGGAAACAGAAAGGGGAAGTTATAGTAAAGGCTAAAATTATAAACAACTGGTTAATTTGCATAATAATAACTGTATATATCTTTGAAGAATAATTTTCTTCCTCTTTACGTATTCAGTTTCTTTCTTCAATACCTTTCCTCTTCATTTTAGAATTTTTGGAATTAATTAAAGATTTCTGTTATTCTAAAAAAACAAATGCATTTAGAATGTAAAGAAAAAGATGAACATTCAGAATAAATATGAAATGATATGTGGTAAGGGCTGGTTTCAGAACCAATGCGGCAGAATTTTTAAAATTTAGTGACACACTGAGCAACAAAATCTAGAAATGTCAAAACTTTTAGAATTTAGGACAGGCACTGGGAGCAGAATTTAGAAGAGCTGTAGGCAGCATAATTTAGGAAGACACTAGGCGGCAGAATTTAGGATCCACAAAGATTGCATCAGATGGGAAAATACCTAGCATGTATGCCTTGTGTATGATCTATTGAGACATATAAGATGAATCTTTTAAATTGTCATTTTTCAATTTCTTTCTTAATAGAAAGATTCTTTTTTATAAATGCCTGTCTGAAGAGGTTAGAAACATTTTTGATATTTTCCATATTTGTCTCTAGTGAAAAGTAGAGAGAATAAAGGGAAGATAAACACATTAAGAAAAAGACTTCTAGTATAAGAACAACATTCCAACATTATGTTTTCATTGTCCTTCCAAAAATTCTTCAAAATGCGAGGAACTCATCACAAACTTTCTGTAAAATACATCCATTATGTGTTAATACAGTGAAGACATTTTTCATTCTGTCACATTTTTCTGGAGCCTTCTAGAATTGTGGGTCTGTAAATCTTGCCTTCAAATCCTTCCAAACTTTCCAAGATGCAACATTTAAAATCTTAAAGAAAAATTAGCCCTACCAATTCTGTAACAGGAAAAAGGATAGAAATATTTTGAAAAAAAAAATCAGTGGGAAAAAGTGCAAAATTAATTTTATAGAGAAAACTGATTCACATTCTGACAATTTTGAATATTCTGAGACAATTACATATATACAATTTTGAATATTCTGAGACAATTACATATATACAATTTTGAATATTCTCAGACATGGGAAAAATTCTTACCATGAAAAAATTAAAAAGAAGAAATCTTTAATTAATTACATAGCTATTTTGCTTTTGCTATGAACTGCTTTGTAAACTGCGCTTTATAGCATTTATTACCTTGTTTTTTCCCCCCCAGATTCAATATATTGTATAATAAGTTGCAAAAATGGAACTAATGTCACTTTACAATACGACAGCAAAAAATGTTTTATTGTCATTCCTTATTTATATAATTTCAATATATTACCATTATTTTAGCTAAATTTATCAATGTTATAATATTTAAAAAAAATCATTGAAAAATTCCCAAGTCTCCGAATTAAAAATTTTCTATAGAAACTGATCTTCTAATTGTCAAAATGTTGATAAATCGTCAAATTTAGAATCATTTAATAAAAGAATTCACAACCCCAAAAGAAATGAAAAAAATGAAATAATTTTGAAATGCTTATGTTTGACTCCTTGCTCAGAAATTCCAATATCTCACCCTTTATATTAGACATAGGAATAAATTATAACCTAGGAATGAGCCAACTGTGGCCCACCGGAATGTTCTATCCAGCCCACGGATAGAATTTTAATTTTCCGGCACGAGGCAAATTAAAAGAAATATATATTTATATATTATTATATCCATCTCCTTTTCTACTTTGCTTAAATATTTTTTCCTTCCTTTTTTTTTCAAAGGACTGATGATCTTTTTACTTTCTCTATTTTTGTTCTACAAAACATAATCGATGGAAATCACAGACAGATTTCAATCGATAAAGTGTTAAACGCGGAAGTTCTTAGTTAGTTATAGCATCATTGTGAATAGTGGTGAAATTATTAAAAGGATAGCTTAGCGAGTTCTTGTTTGGGTTATTTGTAAAATATTTCAACCCTAATTCAACCTTAAAATGGCTACTAAAAAAAAACAAAGTTGATTTAGAGTGCAGTGCTTTCAATCATGAATGGCCCTGGATTTTTTTTTTTTTTTTTTTTTTTTTTTTTTTTTTTTTTTTTTTGTGTGTGTGTGTGTGTGTGTGTGTAAAAGATAAACCAGTTTTGTCTCATCTTCAATGAAGCTGTAGCAGTCTTCAAAGAATATAACATTTCCCGTCATTTCACATCTAAGCATAAGAATTCCAATTATAAAGCAGTGTTCGAACATGGAAGAAAACAAAATGCAAAAATCTTTGTAAAAAATTATTAGGGAAACACATTTTTCTCAAGAAGGTAAACAGTATCCAAGAAGCAGCTACATATGCAAGTTACATTGTAGCATACAATATTGTTAAAAATAATACAAGTTTGTGATGTTTTATGTCCAGACAAGAAAAATAATTTTGAGACTGTAAGCTTATCTCGAAAAACGGGGACTCCTAGAATCGAAGACATAGATAAAAATTTGACATCACAATTAGAGTCAAAGATTGGCCAGTTTAAATTTTGCTTCATAGCTATGAATGAAAGCACTGATATAAATGATACTGCTCAATTAATATTATTTATAAGAGGTGTTGACGAGAACTTTGAAATTAACGAGGAACTAAAAAGGAACTACAGCGGGATGCAAT